AAAATAGTGCAAAAGCACATGTCGAAAAAACACTTTATCGCGTTCCATTTTTCACAAAGCAAAAGAAATTGTTGTTTAGGAAAATAATTGTGTATGCTGACTGAATGTTATCGAGAAATGTCGAAATTAATCACAAACTACCTGTTTCGTTAGTAATGACTACTAGAACTGTTTGCATTGCCATCTAACATTTGCGGGCGGAAACTAAGTTATGGTCCTAATAATAGGAAATTATTCAACGCGCGTGCGTTAAATAGCGTTTGATTAGACGACGAAATAAAATTGAACGAGAAGAGAACAATAATAATGAGGATATTGCTCTTGGTCTATTAGCGAAATTGGACGCTTTTTCTTTGAAAATTGCCGGAAAGACTCACGTAAGTTCATCTCGTCGTCCCATGGATTGAAGATAATGTTGATATAAGTTGCTGCCACACACGGCACAAAGGCATTCACGTGATTGTGCGTGCACACGCTGATAACGTCGCCTGGCTTAATTCCCTCTTCCTGTAGCCACAAAGCGCATTTCGCAATTTTCTTTTGAAATTCCTTGTAAGTGACCGATTCGCCCGTGCGTGCATCCAACTGCAATTACCAGTTATGTAACAAGTGTTTTAATGAAAATTGCATGTTCATTGTATTGTGAATTTTCTGGTCCGCGATAAAATGAACATGCAATACATTATATTATATTTTTATACAATCTTACATATTCTTAAATTAAGATTTGAATAATATTCTCAGTCTTTTAATGTTTTTTTTATTGTAAATTTTAGATTATAAACTGTTGACATCCTTAGCAGTTTTCCAAGTAGAATTCGATAATAAGAAAAATTACAAACAATCTCGTATTAGTAAATAAGAAAATATTTACTTAAAAAACTAAAAAATGTTACAAATTACAATTACAAATATTGCAACTACAAATTTTGCAAATATTACAAATATCGCTGCAATAACATTGCATTAAATATTACACGATATTAATATTCGCAAATATATAACATCTTTTTAAATATAAAGCTTTGTGCACTAGTTTTTCTAATGCATAACATTATTATAAAAAACCTTGGTATCGAATATCGATTTCCGTTAACTAATCATTTAAAGCAGTATTTTCAAATATGTTTACAATATTTTGCAGTATTTTGCAGTATTACAGAGAATCGCCGATTTACGTAAAAACTCGAAAAGAAATTCCCCTTAATTTTGGGGAAATTTCGTTTCTGTACTTAAAAAAATGTTTAATAGTTGAAAAATGATTATAAGATATTAAATACAGATGTCTGAGAGACATCTAAGACCGTATAAAATTAACATTTCAGATTCAATGTTTCTTACTTGTAAAAATTGTACGAAGTAACGTTAACTTCAAATTATAGATAATTGCTCGCTTGATTTAGAATATCATGTTCTTTTATGGTTCTTTTAATCCCAAATTAATTAAGATAAAAAAGTCAATTTAGACGTAACTTTATCATCTACATAGTAGTAATTCGTAGTACGTGAAATATATTCCTACACGTGTCACTTTGCAGCGATATAACCTTGAAACGTATCTGAGAAAATGGAATTCACAAAGTAATGTATGAAGAAATTAATTAGTATGTAAACAACTGATACGAGCGTAGCAAAGTGGAACAGACACTAGTCTTACTACATTAGAGATCTAAAGTTCGATTCCCAGTGGAACGAAAAAATATTTGTACGCTCGCACTCCTCTTAGTAGGTTTTGACAAACCTCTGAAAGTAGTTTAGGATAAAGAAACTCAAAAGATAGGAAATCCAAAAAGGATGGAATAGGCCAAAAAGGAAGGTGTATAGGCTAAGATATAACAAAAAGGAAGGAAAATAAGAAAGATGAAAAGAAAGATTTAAGAAAAATAGGTTAAGTTGGCGAAAAAAAATAAAGATAAGGCGTGTAGAAATATGCGTAAAAAATAAGGAAATATATAAATCGTAATACTTTCTGGTGTGAAAGCTGAAGTTGAAATAAAGATACAATACAATTAGTATGTAAATAAATGCACAGTTACACATAAAGTTATAAAAAGAAATTATTGATATCACTTAATTAATCTTGTACAGTTCGTATAATTAATATTAGCAAAGTCTTCGCGGTTTCATATTAAAATTAACACAAAAATTAACACGATATCTTGAAAACCTCCTTCTTTGTTGATGAAAGATGATCGAAATTTTATGTGAAATTTTGAAAAGTGACTTCTTTGATCATCGAGAGGCTAACTCCAAATTGGACCTTATTCCAATATGGGATGTAATATTTGGATGTAATATATTGGATATAATATATTATATGCGAAGTGACACGTATAGGAATATATTTCACGCGCTGCGAATGATCGCTATGTGGATAATAAAGTTACGTCTAAATTATCTTTTTTTATCTTAGTTAATTCCGGTACCATAAAGGAACATGATATTCTAAATCATGCGAGCAATTATCTATATTTTAAAATTAATGTTACTTCGTACATACCTATCTTTACAAAACTAATGGTGTTAGTTCTAGCTAGGATAGGTGTATATTAATATTACTAATATTACACACAATATTGATTTACCTGCGATTTCACTTTTACGTTTTCTCAGCTTTCATAATTTCAAATAAATATCGGATGTCTCTAATTATTCAATCTAAATTGATCCTATCACTAGAAATGTTGATTTCTTTATAATGAAAATTATATCGTCGGAAACTCGGTAAACGACGCTAATAATTACGATATATACTTCGACCATGCTTTCACCACGGTGAACATTCGTAACATATAGTTACACACAAAATTGTTTCGTGAAATACTGAGTATTTCTACACGGACACGAATCGTCGGAATCGTAAACGTCGAAATTATGATAAACAATCGTTTTTTACTTTGCTATCGTTCTGCAATATAATTTCAAATTCAGAAAATATAACATTCTCAAACTCATCTTTTCCTTCCTAAACAATTTTTTTTTAAACAAATCTTAATTTTCAATCCTTTAAAATATCGAAATCATATATATGATTACTTTAATATAGAAACTTAATGGGACCTTACTCCAAATTGGATCTTACTCCAATATAGGATGTAATATTTGGAAGTAATATATTGGATATAATTTATTAGTACATACCTATCTTTAAAAAACTAACGATGTTAGTTAAGATAGGTGTATGTTAATATTACTAATATTACACACAATATTGATTCACCTGTGCGATTTTGTCGTTAAAGTTGTTAATTTTTTTCCAAAACATCTCTCCGATGCTCTTGAAGCTACCCGAATACGGTTGTATTGGTCCCTTGTGAACATTGTTCTCGATCGTAAAGTTCACTTTATTCTATAAAGAATTAACAAACCGGTTAGTTTTGTAATGTAGAACATATTTCTCGCCTACATTCCAACATTTTCTGAATTTTTGAATTTATCTTTCTATCAAAAGTTATTTTAAACTATCTTGCAGGTATTTGTGTCAAAGATAATCTTTCTATTCATACCTTTGCTTGATCTGCGACCATTTTGTCACAGATTCACCTGGTTCCAGGAAGTATTTACAGTGAAGCTGTAATGTGAAATATTTAATCAGCGTATCTCCGCTTAATGTTCTTCTGTTAAAAAAACACGTTTTGACAACTATTTAAACATATTAGGACTAAGGTCAATAATTTGCTTATAAAGTATACATGAGATAAAGTAGAGCTTAAGATAAATAGAATAATCGTTCGTTTTTTCGAGAAACTCGAAACTCCAGATGTAGAATAGAACAAGTTTAAATTCAAAGCTCGAATTTGGGCAGTTGTAATGGAAGTAATGATCGATTGGATTCGCAATATCCGAAGATTCAATTGTTCGAATAATTCGGAAGCAGTTTTTACGTAGATTTTCATTTTCGCACTATGATTCGCTTGGTTTCACACATTATTTCAAAAAGTTAGAAAATAATTTTAAAAAGTCAAAGTTAATAGATGTGAGAATCAAATAAAAAAAATGTGCAAAAGAAAATGCAGTACATGTAATCATTACAATAATTACATTGTCTTAAGCTACGTAGACACATACATAAATAATTTCCACTTATATTAGCATAATTCAATCTAATATACATTCATTATTATTAATAATGATTTATTTTAAGTTATTAAGCGGTCTATAGTGAATGTCCGAAAAGATTCGATATCCGCTAATTACTATCTACAATTCTTTCAATAAGACGAAATTGATATATTTGCTTATAGAATATTTCAATTAATCGCTATCGACAAGCGATATATATTATAGATTTTAATGACAACTATTTTGTCAGTAAGATTGTTAATTACGATGATTTTTCTAATAAAATATTATCAAGTATTATCGATGAAATCATACAAAAGAGATAATATCATATCAACTGTTACGCGCGTATTATCGACGTATTATCATATGTCAAGCTTAAATTAAAAAAAGATATTTCATCTTTAACACACAATTCGATCACAATTTTCAGAATTCGAAAAGGATTCGTGACAAAATGAAAAATCCTCGTGGGAACAAGAGCACTATTGGAGAGAGTTGTGCATTATTTGAATTACACTTCACGACTAACAGACGAACCGGAGAATAAGCATGGACTGCCACTGAGTGTATGAAGTTGGCACCCCACTTTTTGAAATTTATAATTTTGAAAGTTATTTCAGATTGTTCTGACTTTGTACCACATTGTTCCAAAGTGATATTGCTTCATTCGAAACGGTTTTCGAATAAAACAAAAAATGATTTTTTGAGCTGGCACCCCACTTTTCGAAAATTGAACATTCTGATACCGCAATAGATTGTTCTAGTTGTTCCAAACATTGTTCCAAAAGGACAAATCCGTAAGTTGAATTATAAGTCCAAAAAATGAAAAAAATGTTTTTGACCTGGCCACCCCATTTTTTGAAAATAAAGCATTCCGATACCGATATAAATTGTTCTAGTTGTTCCAAACATTGTTCCAAAAGCACAAATCCATAAGTTTAATTATAAGCCCGAAAAATTAAAAAAAAGTTTTTTGACAAATAGTCTATCGGACCAAGAGTAAACTTATACTATCTTTCTTGTTCCAACCGAGATCTTTTTGTTTTGAGTTGTTCTAGGCTTAAGAATTATAGTTCTAGAGTATGAGACTCATAAGATCATTCGTTCTCCGAAAATTCGTAAAAAAATCGATTTGACAGTACTCGACGTCAAGAGTAAACACATGCTTCCTTTCTTGTTCCAACCGAGATCTTTTTGTTCTGAGTTGTGCTAGGCTTAAGAATTATAGTTTTAGAGTATGAGACTCGTAGCGTCATCCGTTCTCCGAAAATTCGAAAAAAAATCGATTTGACAGACATTTTGAAAAAGATGATTTCTTACAAAAATTAATCTTTATTATAGGAAAATTGGCGGAAATAATTACAAAATGTCATGACAAAATAAAGTGAAATTGCTTCGTCGTTTAAGCCTAGTATAACTCAGAACAAAAAGATCTCAGTTGGAACAAGAAAGAAAGCATGTGTTTACTCTTGACGTCGAGTACTGTCAAATCGATTTTTTTACGAATTTTCGGAGAACGGATGACGCTACGAGTCTCATACTCTAATTCAACTTACGGATTTGTCCTTTTGGAACAATGTTTGGAACAATTAGAACAATCTATTGCGGTATCAGAATGTTCGATTTTCGAAAAGTGGGATGCCAGCTCAAAAAATCATTTTTTTGTTTTATTCGAAAACCGTTTCGAATGAAGCAATATCACTTTAGAACAATGTGGTACAAAGTCAGAACAATCTGGAACAACTTTCAAAATTATAAATTTCAAAAAGTGGGGTGCCAACTTCATACACTCACTGCCACCTCTAAGTTGAGCGTTACTATTTAAACGATTAGTTTCGCGTCCAAACGTGTTTTCAAGCTCCGAGATGCGACCACCTGATAATTTTGTCATACTACTCTCTATTACAGTATAATTTTCAGCAGGATGTGTTTTTGTTTATAAGTGTCGATAATTCTTAACGCGATAAGGCGCGCGAGTGGATAATTAATTATAATAACTGTGAACATGTGGAGCCTGAGAGATTAATTCTAATCTTCAGGCGCACAAAATCTTCTCGAATTGTTGATCAACTGAATATCCTGCCTCCCTTAACATGTTGCATGCGCAATGAGTTCTCTTTTAAATAAGACACTGACGAATATTGTTGAGCACTGCTTGTTCTCACAACACTATGACTATCAAATGTAATGAAATGATAAAGTTAAAACGTCGAGCGTGAAGAGAATATGTACGTATACTTGTGCGATTGATACTCACATACACGCAATACTATTTAAACGCGAACAAGTCGTAATTAATTCGTTGTGTGCCTGGCAAGAACGAGAGAATTTTTCAGAATTCGAAAAGAGATTCGTGACAAAATGAAAAATTCTCGTGGGAATAAGAGCACTATTTGAGAGAGTTGTGCACTATTTGAATTACACTTCACGACTAACAGACGAACCGGAGTATAAGCATGGACTGCCACCTCTAAGTTGACAGTTACTATTTAAGCGATCCATACGTCCAATGTCTATAGCAGCAGTTTCCCTTTCCCCAGTTGAAGTTTGTTCAGGCTAACGATCAAACCTTGTAATCTCTAATATCTAACTTTATGATTACTGACTTTACGATTTTTACGATAACTTAATTTTTAGAAGAAATTTACGATCGGACAATTATCGTATGTGTTATCTGAATTAAAATATCGATGAAATTTTTTCTTCAAATTTTCATTATCTCCCAGTCCCCCAGAATAATGGCTGAAAACACGATTGTGGTACGATTATTACGCATTTACAAATTTAATGACACTACGTAACATTACGTGCTCGTAAATAGTTGTAGACATGACGTTTACTCTGGTATACTCTATTGCGCCTAAGTTTTTAACATCAATAACGTATGTTATCCATCATCGTATTTATACATTATCATATGTGTTGTTTATTAAATTCATGACATGTACAAATGTATATACATATGTATGTATGTATATCTAAGTAACTAAGAATATTTATATTCTTTCTCTATTGCGCCTAAGTTTTTAACATCAATAACGTATGTTATCCATCATCGTATTTATACATTATCATATGTGTTGTTTATTAAATTCATGACATGTACAAATGTATATACATATGTATGTATGTATATCTAAGTAATTAAGAATATAAATATTCTTAGTTATTTAGATATACATACATACATATGTATATACATTTGTACATGTCATGAATTTAGTAAACAACACATATGATAATGTATAAATACGATGATGGATAACATACGTTATTGATGTTAAAAACTTAGGCGCAATATATTTATATTTTCCTAATAACATTTTCGCAAATCATTTCCCACATTGCGAAAAATTCGATCGTAACTTGATTGTCTAAATATAAAGAATCACAGCTGGGCTCTTTCTATCAAAGTCTATAGTCATAAAGTTTCTCTTTTCTTCTGTGAAAGTTTCTCCTCAATTAACTGTCGCTCACAAGATCACAACTTACTATCACTAATTAGGAAGTCCATTATCTTAATTACCACTAATTAAGATATCAACAACAATTTTCTTGAAATTTTTACATTATTGTCAAGTCTCCCAGTATAATAGCTGAAAACACGATTGTGGTATAATTATTTCGCATTTACAAATTTAATGACACTGCGTGACATTACGTGCTCGTAAGTAGTTGTAGACATGACTTTTACTCTGCTACTCTATTGCGCCTAGAGTACCATATTTTCAACATCGATAATGTGCGTGTTGCTGTCTGTATGAATTACATAATAATACTAAATTAGGTGACTCGAAATACGTATGCAAGTCTATTATACAACGATGATGAAAGATTTTCCATCTTCCGCGGATTACAAAAAATGCTTTAGTGTTCGCATGCAACAATCACATTAGATTCAAAATGTAAATTTATATAAGTTGCGATCAAAATTGATAATTAGAACAGTAGAAAAAGATATATAATATATTTGTTTATGCATTAAGATTCTTTCTTAGCTACTCGCCATGGAATTTTCGACGTTAGAAGTGAGAGAATAAAAATTCTTGTAAAACACGTTGAAATAAAATAATACGTCCGTAAAATTACACTTGCGATTAATGAAGCAGACTTGTAAGATAGCCCGAATTTTTATCTTTTGTTCGAACTATCAATAAATAATCGTAAAAGTAATGTGACATTTAACCTTATTTTTTATCACGTAAAAGTAATGTGACATTTAACCTTATTATCTCTCACGATTTTGTCATGTTAATTATACAGTTTATTGATTGTGTTAGAACAAAAAAGGTAAAAGTTCGGATAGTTTTATTTTATAGGTCTATTCGATCGATTGCAAGTATTATTTTATAAACGTATTATTTTATTTCAACGCATGTCGCAGGAATATTTAAAATGTGTACTTACTCGCTTCTGACCTCAAAAACAAGATGATCATGGTCAAGAACACTAGCGTTCTGTTCTCGAATCAAATGGCTCATCGCCAAATGCAAATTATCAGTACCAATTAATTTCAAACGGTAAGGCGTTATTGTTGTTATATATAGGATATTGTTGTATATATAGGATATTGTATGTATAGGATATTGTATATATAGGATATTGTTGTTATATATATTTTGTTGTTATATATAAGACTTGAAGATCGTCAAGAATTTCCAGTATTTCTTTTATTAACAGAATCACAAGACAACATGACACGCCAAGTATATGCAATATTTAATCGAAATAATTATCACATATACACAGGGTAAAGGTGCCTAATATGAGATACCTTTTTTAAAAAACTTATAATTTATTTAATTTGTAACCGTAATTCCCGCTTTTATGTAAAACTTATGGAAAATACATTCAGGTATTACCTCCAAAAGTTAGTAATCAATAACAGCTACTTTGTAATATATGAAATTTTTTATCAGAAATGCTGATTTTGCCCTTTCAGAAAAAAGATTCCTAATATGAGACAAGAAGGTTTTTTTATATGAGATGATATTTCATATAAGCAATGCAATAAATTTGTAAAACAACACGATAAATCACTTATAGTACTTATGTGCAATACATTGAAATATATTGAAATGACAATGAAGCTGTACCTTTAAAAGTGTTAAATACATATCTTAAAATCACAATTATTATTTTTTCACCGCGCGTACGCGACCACTTCCTTGCAGACATAATGATTTTCACGGCGAATAATCTTCATACTCAAGCAGGGATTGTCACTTAAATATAGGTTATCTCATACTTCCGGTATCTCATATTACGACTCAGACAACATAATGTTTAAAATCGGAACATAAGACGTCTTAAAGATAATCTTTAAGAACTTAAAGATATTTATACGTAAATCTGAAAAACATCTTAAAGATGATCTTTAAAATGTCTTATATCCCGATTTTAGATATTATGTTGTCTGAGTACTTTCGTCCAGAAGAATATTACTCCAAACGTAGCAAAGCTGCAAAACTGATGCAAGAGATTTTCCCCTCATTATTGACTTTTGGAAATTTAACAAATAAAAATGAAAGGAAGACCAGGTTATGTATCCAAAAGAATATCGTGACAATATTATTTTTTTACTCAAAATAGTAATCAGCCCAACTGATATTTCGAAACTGGATGAATTCGTTATTAATTTCTTTATATTTAGTAAATAAGATAAACTTTTTACCTTATTATAAACTAATATTTGCGCTACATTTTTTTCGTACTTTGTATGTATATATAATATACCGCATTCTATAAATCAGTTTATAGACGATTGTACTTTTGCTATAAATTGAACTAACTCTTTCCATAATTATTTATTAAATTAAACTCGAAATCAAAGTCATTTGATAATTCTACTTCAAAGCATTCTGGATTAAGTAAATTAAATCCACAATGTCGCTTTCATATATTATTTTTGAGATAACCTTTCGATATTCTAGATATTAAGTCCATATAATACATGAATCTTACATCACATTTCGTACTTATCACCGTTTAACCATATAGTTGCTTTTTACTTTATAAGCTAATCTTGCTATTTATTTATAATCGACTTTGTTATTTATCTGTATCAATGTGATACGAGATTTGACTCGTTTGACACATTGATTTTAAATTGCGCAATTATTATAATCGCAATTTTTTGTTGCACAAGATAAAAAACATTCCGTTAAAAAGTAAATATCATGGACATCTCATGGACATCTCATAAATAACAGTTTTTTAATGTCTACATTCTCTACATTGTTTTACATGTCTACATTCTTTAATGTAGACATTCACATGTCTACAAGTAATGAAGAATTCATTCACATTGATGAACTTGCAGCGTTCTATAGACGGCCCGAATCGATATACTACACTAAAAAATGCAACGATGCGAACTGAGCTAGGTTCCAGCAAATATCGTTGATTCATCCATGCACTCTCATATTACTTTGTACGTCATGTAAGAAATGTTATGATTTTCGTTATGCAACAATCCCGTAATTATATATCGAGTTTTATCGCAAGTCATTTGCATGTATATACGAGTGTATGTGCGTCACGCAGTTATATAAGCAAACGATTAGCCGGTGTTAAGCGGCTACTCGCTGAACGCTACCTGTTAATCTTAGTTAGATCGTAAATTACCTTTCATAGTTGTGACGGAATTGATTTTCAGTAAGCGTAGCTTGCATTTGCATTTTATCTGATATTCATTCTAATATATTGTTTCAGTCGCTTTATCTCAGATCTCCATATTGGCAGATTCAGAATTTCATTATTAACATTTAATGAAATCCTCTAGCATGCTGATCAAAACAGATCGTACATTAAATACATATTGGGTACATATTCTTTTAAGTAAATATATTATTACGAACTCATATTTATCACAAGCAATAACGAGTTTGCCTAAATGTACATAATGTAGATATAAATTTTAAATACTTGTGTAAATTATCGTCGTCTTTATCATGTTTTAGTGATATTACCCGTTGTAAATAATTATTATTTGCTTAACCTGTTATGTTAGATTTGAAAACACAAAGAAGACGAGTTACTTTAAAGGTTTATTTAGGTTTAATTCCACCGAGTCAATGCAAGAGATTTGTTATTCTTCTACTAAATTGTCATATTTCTACTAAATTAAAATAGGAGTTTTGGATATTAATAGAAAAATAAGAAATCCTTGTTAAGAATCCAAGAAAATACCGAATCGTTCTTATTTATTTTATCCGTAAAAATAATTAATAGTTCGCGAAATATGATAATTAAAATCGTTAAAATTACAATCGTTACAAAATTAAAATCTTTATTGTTAGATGTACAATAAATAATACTAACGTGTAATATTGGCTCTAACTCTTGTGTGTTACATTTTACTTGCTCAAAGTGAAACGATGGCATATAGAAGAACACAAACAATAAAATTTAGACAGTAAGCAAGCTCCAATCATAGTTGATAATCCTTACAGTTCGAAAACAATCGATTGTGATTGATCAATTCTTTTACCGCTTCGATCTCTGCTTACGTTTCTCTATCATCTACGTCATCTGCTTGATACAATCATTTTTTCCGTCTCTAAACGCTTAGAAATTCCAACACGTTCGTCATTATTCGACTGTTTAAACACACGTTAAATCTTGTATAAAACATGATTAAAAGGTATATTTGTAATTGTTATTTTTCACGTGATATATAGTAAATAGACCAAAACATCGCATTCATGAAAAGAAAAATTATTCCGTGTATTCTGCGGGTATAGGATCGACCATCAAGCGTTCAGCCAATTCTCGGAGTCGTTTCCTCGCAATCTTGCCGGTGTCCGTATATAGAAGCTCGTCTAGAAATTGTACACCAGCGCGAAGATGTTTGTGATCTTCCAGTTTGTCCGCTACCAATTTGACCAGTTCCTCCGCCGTTACCTGCAAAGCACACTCCAAACTCAGTTTAAAAAGTCTACACGGAAAAAAACAACTCCATTAGTGTATCTGAATTTTCTGTTATTTGAGAACGAAATGAAAATCTCGATTATAGAAGAAAGATTACTGTAGAAAGAAGAAAGATTACTGTAGAAAGTTCACGAATTTTGAATTTTGACTTCAATATCAGTGTTTAATTATGTTGATATTATGAGGTTTGTATCAATCATTTTTGCGCCTCTAAATACTACAGAAAATACACAAAATGCCGCTTGTAGATTTTAAAGCGAAGAAGCTAAAAAATCAGATAGAATAAAAAAATATAGATTCGATACAGACTTCGGAGTATCAGTGTTGGCGTTAAATAAAATATTAAGGCCAAGATTTAAATCAAGGCCAAAATTTCAACTCTGTTACAACTCTAATTCCTAATCTTTTCTAATTTTTTTCTAATCTTAACCAACGAAACATAATCACACGTAGAAAGAAGATTAAGTAAATGATAGTGACCATGACTCACTTAAATACGTTTTATTTGAAGGAAACAAAATTTCTGATTCATATAAGCCAAACTGGGTTCTTCTAAACCGTAATCGTGTGTAGTTATGTTATGTATGTGTAACATAAAACATGTGTAGTTGTGTGGCTGTCACATTAATTTAACTAATCCTTTTTCCTTGTGCAATAAAAAGACGCTGTCATTAATCACGAACGTTATTTCTCTTCCTGAAAAATAAAACTACATCGAGAAGAAATGTTCGAAAATTTATTTTACTGAGATATAAAGTTTACTTCTACTTAACATTCATTTATGTAAATAAATTTTATATCTTTCAAAGAAATTTTCGAGTATTCTTTTTTCTCAGTGTACCTTCGAATATTGTCGTACGCACCTCCTTGCCGGGTATTTTCGTCACGAAAGCTAAAGGGTGCTCGTCGTCGAGGTCATTCTTCACACGCACCACAGCAACCTTGCGCACCGCCGGATGACTCTGTAGCACGCTTTCGATTTCGTTAGGGAACACGTAGCAGCCTCGGACCTTGATAATCTCCTTAATACGGTCACACACGTAGATCTCACCGTCTGTATCATAGTAGCCGAGATCACCGGTGTGTATCCATCCTGAATAAAAACATGTATAAATGAAGATATAGCATATTAACGTATTAAATGCTATTTTATTTAAATGTGACTTTACCTTAAGAAAATTTATTATCATAGATGATAAAATAATTAATAAAAAATTACACTTAGGTGAAAATAATGATAAAACTGAAGAAAAAAATCGTAAAGTCTCAGGAAGAATCTTAAATGAAGTCAACTCGGCAGGTGATATATTAGCTCACTTACATCCTTAACAGTCTTAACAGTCTTAAAAAATATGTTTAAAAAATACTGAAACTTGTTTTCTTAGGTTGATATTAAATGAATTTTTTTCCTCTTTCTCTCTTGTTTGGTAAATACGTCACCGTGTCTTTAGCCTTCTCCACGGATATTTGTGGCTATTTAACAGACTGTTCTCTTTTTCTAAAGACATTAAATATAATATAACATGAATATAAATGAAATATAGATGAATATAATAAATGAAATGAAATATAGATAAAAATACGTTAATCTTTTTTTCAATCTAGTCTCAATCTCAACTGCAAGTAAATTTACTTCTGACTTAATAGGTGCACGGGTATATCTACTTCTAATATGAGTTGATTAATGCAATTTATGCGAGAGGTATTATCGTTACTACAGCGCATAAAAACTCACCGTCCTTGTCTAAAGTCTCCTTCATGGCCTGAGAATTGTTGTAGTATCTTGTCATCATGCAAGGTGATTTCAACAAGAGTTCGCCAAGTTCGCACGGGCCCAGAAGCCGTCCAGTGTCGACAGCGATCACTTTCAGCTGACTGTTGCTCAATATGTAGCCACTGGAGCCTATTTTGTCGCCTTCCCTTTGCAGAGTGTAAACACCGCCTACCTCACTTGTACCTGTAGTGATCCGTAATAAAAATCAGAATATGGAATTAGAATCGCGGTATAAAAAGTGACATTAGCAATTCTCATACTTCATATGTTTTTTATATAACTCAAATCGTTGCGCGTTCAATCCTGTATTTATTCTTATAGTCCTTGCAATTTTCTTTAAATACTTTATACGTTCTCATTTACAACTTCACCTGTTGATTACAGATTGAAAATTGAAGACGGAGAATGATTAAGAAAAAAATTATTAAGAACTAACAAGAACCAACACAGGTGTAGTAAAGTAATTAAGGCAAATAAAAAATTTGCAAGTGTGACTTACATAATTAAAATAATAAAATTTATTGGTCAAGAAATCCAAACGTTCAGTTGAGGACAGAAACATTTGGATTTCTTGACTAATATATTTTATACTTTTGACTACTTAAGTCACAATTGCAAGTTTTTTACTTGTCTGATTACACTACTACACTTATTAGTCCTATTGATTGATTGACTATCAGAGTTTTTTCAATTAAAATTTAATTAAGAAACGATTGGTTGTATGAAATGTTTTTCAACTAAAAGAAACAGGATTTCTGTTTCCTCCCATTCCAAAATACATTTAATCATCATCGATCACCGTCGCATTAATTCAACCAATCTTTATCCTTCGTACACGTCAGCGCTTCTTCACTCACCATAAGTGAATAAAACTTTCGTGTGTGGTAAGGCTTTAATCACTGCCTCGAACAAGTACGGTTTCATATACGCGCCGCCTATAATTAATTTCTTCAGCGATGGTAATCGGTATTTGTGGAAGAACCCGTATTTTAGCACGCTAGTGGTGAGGCACGATTGCAGCAACATCCATGTTACCTGTAAGTGACAATTGGATTTTTTATCTCTTTTCATGAACGTTTTCACACAAATCGTCTATTGATCTGTATGTATGCAGGCGCACGTTATATTTCTCGATTATCTGGCACAGCAGCTCCTCTTTGTACTCCGGACAAATGATCCACGTCTTGTGGAAGTAAATTGATCGGAGCGGCAGAATCGCGCCAGAGATCCAACGGAAGCTGCTAAGCCACATTATCATCTTGTCGTCCTTCTCGGCGAAGCTCTTGTCATAAAGCATATTATTGATTAGCGCGGAATGCGAATACATCGACGCTTTGCATAGCCCGGTGCTGCCCGACGAACAGACGATCAATCCGATTTCGTCGGGGCTGGCGATCGGTCTGCAACGAAACTCGTCGACCGCCGCTGCATCCTGATCGGGATTGTTGATGATCTTGTCGAAGTTCTCGCATCCGATCGCTTCGCCGAAAGTCACCAGTTCGATCTTCAGGTCCTCCTCCGTCACAGCTTGCGCCAGGATGTCCGCCATATCGACGTTCGCGAAAATGATCTTCGGCTTTGTCAGAGCGATGAAGTAACGGCTGTCGTCTAGAGAATCGCGGAAGAAATGATCAGGATGACATAAATTAAAATATTGTTTGCTCCTTTAATAAAAATCAGTAAAAATGTTTCTGATTAAGTAAAAGAAGTATGCCGCCGACGATCAGTAAATAGTCATTGATTTTCGATGGAAACGCTCTCACTGTACTCTTTCGTCTTGTCATTGCAAATGCAAGTGTGTTATTTTAGCTGAATCTCTTCTCACATATTTCTCACCGTTTTAAGTCGCATCATTTGACACGCTTAAATATATTAAGTTATAATTTACACGTCTCTCAGGTTCTTGTATTAATAGTTATTTTTTGAAACACGTCTCAAATAATGAAATACTCAGATTTCAGTTTAGATTTAGATAAGAATCCTTTTAGTCGAATTACAGATATAAATGTCACATGTATTATAATTTAACTGAAAGAGAAACATAGATCTAAAATACAAATCTAAATATCTCACATGAAAGTTTCGAGTGAATTTTAATACAGACCTTACACGTGTCAAATGACGCAACTTAAGAAACATGCAACAAGAACTTGAGCCAAACGTTACACGCTTATGCGTCTAAAAATAACACACTTGGATCTTCAATCGTTTCCTTCGACCTTTCTAATTGTTACCAGTGGAGGTAAGATGTCGCTGCAAAATCTGTAGTGTACAAATTCGTTATACGCTGCATCAAATTTAACTTTCTGCATTTGCGGCGATGGAATAAACAGTTTCTGTGCGCCTTTCGTACGATAACACTGTCTGTGTTTGTAAACTGAATCAACAGACGCTATTATTAACTGATTCTATCAGCGAGTTATGTGCCAAGTGTGTTATTTTTAGACGCATAAGCGTGTAACGTTTGGCTCAAGTTCTTGTTGCATGTTTCTTAAGTTGCGTCATTTGACACATGTAAGGTCTGTATTAAAATTATCACTCGAAACTTTCATGTGAGATATTTAGATTTGTATTTTAGATCTATGTTTCTCTTTCAGTTAAATTATAATACATGTGACATTTATATCTGTAATTCGACTAAAAGGATTCTTATCTAAATCTAAACTGAAATCTGAGTATTTCATTATTTGAGACGTGTTTCAAAAAATAACTATTAATACAAGAACCTGAGAGACGTGTAAATTATAACTTAATATATTTAAGCGTGTCAAATGATGCGACTTAAAACGGTAAGAAATATGTGAGAAGAGATTCAGCTAAAATAACACACTTGCATTTGCAATGACAAGACGAAAGAGTACAGTGAGAGCGTTTCCATCGAAAATCAATGACTATTTACTGATCGTCGGCGGCATACTTCTTTTACTGATTACAGTGCTATACTTATAACTTCAACTTATATCTCAGTGAAAAACATATTGATTGTACTTCAGAAAATATAGACCATGTGATAAAGAATAACAGCTAAAAGACAAGTACATACGGTAACGAACGTACGGATATTCAGTTTAAAATGCATGGGATAGAAAAGCGCGCCGACGTAGAGACATCCCAGCAAGGGTATAACACAATCGAGATGGTTGTGGGTGGCAATGCCGATTATATCTCCCGGTTGAATACCTCGGCTTCTCAACCAAAGTGCACACCGGACGCTGCGGTCCTTGATCTCGGCAAATGTCGCCTGTCTCTCCGTAGCTGTGTCTATCTGCATCGTGCAGAGAGATAATTCATGTCCGTGATTAATTGCAAGGTGAAATGATACTGAGACGACGCGGAGATCGTCGGTCTCACATAAACCCAGATAGAAATGCATGATGATTGTGTTTCATCACAATGTGACTTCATACTGTGACTTCAATTTGATATTATATATCAAATATGATATATTTTTTAAATATTATTACGTGATTTCATGACATGAGCACCAGATGCACACAAATGATGTACAAATTATGTTACAAGTTCTTGACATAATGTTGATTATTATTGTAATGAAGTATTTTTGTGACATCATGACATGAACGATATATGAGTACCATATGAGCTCAGAATAAACACATTTTTCTATCTAGGAAAACAAAAAGCAACGCGAATCATCGTGCGAAAATGATCTACGTAATTTTGATTTACCAGTCCGACGAATTCCGGGTTACCAGATAGTTGCTCGTAAACCAATTCGCCGATACCGACGCATTCACGGTAAACCGGCGCTTCCTCGCCGATTACTACATTATCGACAATCTTGCATGGTGGTGGATACTACAATCCAATGAGCGTCATTTCATAAAATTATTTGATACGAGAAAATTATGAGTGTGACTTATCGCATTGATAAAAAATATTCACTTTGTAGTAACTGTTTTTGCACTGTAAAACGTATTCCTCAAATTTTCAGCGGGATAAATTATTAGAGAACAAGTTGTAAAATATGATATACAAATTTGAAGGTACATTACAAGTTGACAACTTGCCTCAAATCTACATTTAAAGCCGCGTTTAGTACGATTTTAGTCTGTCGCGGAATCCTTCACCAACTCACGAAGTGTTATCCGGTCGATTGTTGTGGAATATGCATGTAATATGTTTCACAGTGCGAAAAAAATTATTACAGTGTTGAAACTCTTTATCACGATGTCTTCCCACAACAATATTAAAAACGAAATTCGCGAAAGTAAAATTTAACATCGTCGTTTTTACCCTCGTCGTTTTCTTCTCGCTTAAAGATGTAGCCGGCTTTATGAACTCCATCAGTTGTTCTTCTTCTTTGCGAGAAATGTCCTGTTACGAAGAATAAATTCGGAAGTTAATTTGCGATCAGTTCAGACTGAGTCGCAAGAAACGTCTGATCGTTTTAGTTTTGTTGGGAGCATCATATGAACATCGTAATACTTATGCAGTTGGTTATATTCGAATTTGAGTTATATGAGCAAACACGTGCTGTTATTATTGTAAAACTAAGCGACGCGTTTTTATTAAAGATACTTCCTATTTTCTTATTTTCTTTATTCGCACGTTATTCTGCATTTTCCGTGTTTTTCAGATCCACATTTTCTATAGTCAACATGAGATAATACACATGTGTGTATGTGTGAAACAATATTTTCATTATTGATATACAATAATAATCCACTATTCCCGAGTAACGTTGTAGATTACAATGCGTGTATGTTGTCTGTGACGTATTTTATTGATAAGCACACATTTTTTATAAAACGTTTTATATAAATTCTGATATACACATATAATATTTTATAAAGTACAAAAATTTTTTATAGTAGACCTATCATACTCCTCATTATAAATATACAAATGACATAATTTTAATATTATTTTAATAATATCATATTACATATAAGTTTGCTGACTTCAACAGTAGTATATTTGGATTACTAATATTACTTCTAGATCTATTTCTTATCTTATAACACGTTGTTTACAGTGATGATTATAATATTGAGCGGTTCAAATTAAACGATTTATTCTTGCTTCACCATTTCACGAAGCGCCATTCGATCGATTTTTCCGTTGACAAGACGCGGTATCTTTTCTATAAACACGACGCCTCCGCGAAGTTTATTTTGATCTTCCATGTTTGTGGCTATCAAGTCTTGCAGTTCTTGTTCTGTCACCTGAAAAAAGATATCTCTTAGATAACGGAAGACAAAGAAGGAGGTAGATGTTATTTCAGATTCGATCGATTAAGAGAGAGAAGAGTATCCGAGAAAATCTTCTCACCTTTGCATTCAACAGTTTCGTAACGAATGCAATCGGATGTTGCCCGTCGAAATGATGCGGCACAGCAATTACGGCACTGTCGCTCACAGCCGGATGGCTTCCTAACAGGCTTTCAATATCTACCGATGAAACGTGATGACCTCTGTACTTGATGAGGTTTTTGACCCGGTCAACGATGAAGATATAGCCGTCTTCGTCGTAGTAGCCTATATCTCCGGTACAGAACCATCCTGACGAACATCAGTTCGTTAAAGTGTGCAAGGTATATACTTTTATATAAAAATATGTAACTTTATATTGATAAGATAAAAATTAATAAGATCAAATTCTCTAGTAACTAATGAACAACTGAAGAGTTTTGTTTCTTTTTTAAGTTCCAATATTTGAACACACTGAAGAGGGTCCAAGCAGTGACCGAAAGGTTTGTAGTGTAAGAAAAATCCTGAATTTATATTGTATAATTGATACAAAATATAATCCACACACATCTATCTCTTAACGGCCTTAATTCCTATTTTTTATTTGTGTAATCATAAAGCTTTATTTAAAAATTGTTTAATATTTTTCAAAAAATCTTATAGACTAGATTCATTTTCGATATAGATCAGAGTCTCCTGAAATCAATTAAAGAAGAGATTCTTTGTAACTAACCACTCTCATCGAAGACACTCTTGGTTATTTTGGGTTCTTTGTAATAGCCGTTCATCATGTACGGACATTGGATGTAGATCTCACCGTGTGTGTTGGGGCCCAATGGTTTCTTGGTCTGTAAATCGACAATTTTTAAATAAATGTTTTTGCATACAGAACCGCTGGATCCAATCTTTTTGGTCCCTGTTTGATAACAGATTAACCCCGTTTCAGTCATGCCTGCAACAACATGAGAACCGTCGTTACGACTTTTGACTTTAGACCGTGCCGCGGTCATCACTGCTTGGTATCATATAATTACAATTGGCAACAGTTGTATACGCACCGTATGCCGTCATAGCACTATCCGGCAGGGCTTTACCGATATTCTCGTGAACGTCACGTCTGATCGTTGAACCGGTAAATAGGACTTGTCTCAAAGAAGACATATCGTGTTTCGTGAAAGCGGCGGATTTCACCAACTGGTGGCACAGACCAGTTTCAATTAACATCCAAGACACCTGAAGTGAAACATAGTTATAAACAATCAATTAAATTTTCTTCAACTTAATAACTAATTCGAATCATAGTATGTTTCAGCTCAACTAACTGGCGATTGATTTGAGCAAAATCAATCAAAGATCATTTAATTGATGATGTCAAAACGAATTTAATCATTCTATTAATAAAAAAATAATTCTATTAACGATTGATATATGAGCGAAGAGAATCAAAGATCATTTAATTAACAATTAAACTTATAGCGAATTTAATTAAAAGTTACTGAATTAAATTTGTTAAGTTCAATTGTCAATTAAATGGTCTTTAATTCATTTTGCCAAGTTTAATTATTAATTGCACGATCTTCAATTCTCTTCGCTCATGTCAATTATTAATTGAACGATCCTTAATATATTGAATTCGTTAAGATCAGTCGTCAATCGGACGATCTTCGGTTAAATTTGTCAAATCAGCTGTCAATTAAACGATATTCAATCTAATTAGCTTATATTAATTGCTAATTAATTGCTATATTAATTGCTAAATAAACACGATAATGTACTAAAAAAGTAATTGATTACTCGCAAGCCTGTGAAGTGGAATAATAACGTAAGGGTTCTCTTATCTTCACTAAGCATATTGAAAGTATCTAGAAGATATTACTTAATTACACTAATCAATAAACATATGTCGTAAGATACATTCTTTTTGATATAAATCTTTTCGTAACTAAATCTTTTTTTTTACATCTCAATTATACGACATACCCTGTACTTCTCTATTGCCTTGCATATCTTGTCGGTATCGAATTTCGAGCACTTAATCGCTGTCGCATACGAGAGTATACTACGAATGGTCAGTGCCATACAGGTGATCCAACTTAAGGATCCAAACCATAGGACAATGTCACCAGGTATCACGGAAAATGATTGGACGAGCGACGGACATAAGAGCATTGTCTGAGGAATCTCCACAGCTTTAGGGACGCCAGTCGAGCCGGAAGAATACATTAACAACACGGTGTCCGATATTTTCTTTTCCGACGTTGTACAGGTGAACCCACTCATTTCGGTCTCTTTGAATTCCTGGTCCAAGATCAAGCTAAACGGATAAAACTTTCTGGCAATAGTTTTACAATCTTCGCCAACTAATTTAAATTCGCTATCGATTTGATCGTCGAAAACCACGATCTTCGTGGAAATGCGCGCTAAAAGGGCCTGCCTATAAACTAGTACGGCCTTATCGATATTGATGAAGATCACCTTCGGCGTGCTTTGTTTTAACGCGCGTTCCATGTTTTCTGAAATTATTTCCTTTTGTTAATAAACAAGTTTAGGTGGAAAAAACAAGAAACAATTACGGGAACTAAGAGATAACCCAGATAGACATATTTCGACATATTATCTGCTTAGCAATTAGTACAAGTGCATAAAGATACACCCTTATACAATAAAAACTCTTTTCCTATATAAAAAAAAATTATTTAATGCCATGAAAATTGTTGCTTACTTTACCAGAAAAAGAACGCAATTTAGTATTATTGTACTAATAAAAAGTAAATATTTTGACAAAAATTATGACGTAATAAATGGATATTTTATAAAGCAAGAATATTTTTTAAATACGTAGTATTACAACAGCATACATTAAATTAATCTAAGTATACATTAAATGCTTGCACATTATGTCTCTATCTATCTAGGAAATTAATTAACGAGTATATCGAGTAAAAATTCGAAAGATGGTCGATCTATACTTTTGCTGATATTTTCGTTCCACAAACTCGTCGTGGCACCAATATATAAAGAAGCCAGGAATGGTATGTATGTATTCAAGTGGTTGTGCGTGCTCAGCACAATTATATCGCCTGGTTCAACTCCCTTCTTCTTCAACCATAACGCGCACTTCACACTATCCATTTTCATTTGCCGAAATGTAACTTTACGTTCTGTCTCCGCGTCCACCTGCGAGATGTGTCAATTCATGTCATTTATTGTCGAATAATAGACTTATTAATAGCCTTTTTTTATTATTGTGTTAACGATTAGTATCCAATGGATTCGACTGTTA